CAAATAGGTTGTAATATTGAATATAATAGATATCAAACCATTCTTGATATGGTATCAAAGTCAAGTGAAAAACCCTAGCTTCATTTACAAACCTTATTCGGTTTTCATTGCCGAAATAAATAAAAAAGAACCTAAAAGGGTTAGGTCAGCCTTCATAACTGGCCAGTGTAGTCCAGTCGCTAGCCACTATTGCTGGCCACCAGTAACAACCAAATCGGCCTTCTTTACTAGTGCTAGAAACCCTTAATCGGGCATTCAATCATGGATTGCCCCTTTCCCATAGCACTTCTATTTGCGTTCCTCTATACCATGCATAAACCTTGCAGACGCGGTCATAGTTGGACGTCAGACCCTTGGGTCGTGGTCGCCTCCAACCGAGCAAATAGATGAGCCGCATCGAGTCATGACTAGATGCAACCAAACGCGACCACCTCAGTTTTCTCTTGGTCGCGTTGGTGTAACGTCGCATAACCGTTACTAGATGCGGCCACCTCAGTTCTCTCCTGGTTGCACAGGTGTAACATTGCACAATGCTCTCTTTATTGTGACCAGGCGCGACCACCTCAACTTTGTCAAGCGCGAATGGGTCATCTCTGTCAATTAGTAGTGCCTTAATCTCCATTGAGGCATGTAAAGGGACAGGGAAGAAAAAATACTGAATATTTACATATCTTTTATTGAAATGAGAGTAGAGATATATATACATGTAGATAGATTCAGATATGGCGTAATTTCGCACCGACAATGCCAAGTATTTTTTCAACCATATACTTTCATCATCCTTCTATCATGAAGAAATTGTTCATGAATTATCTTACGTCCACGCTCACACAATTGAATGGAGTAGCAGAACGCAAGAATAGTCTCATTTTAACTACAACCAAAGCTTTTCTTTTTGAAAACAACGTCTCAAAACAATATTTGGGGCAAAACTATCCTTACTGTCACTTGCGTTGTTAATTGTTTGCCTACAAATGTTTTTGAATTCAAAAGTTCTTTTGAAACACTTCAAGAGTTTTACTCAATAGTAAGTGTCACCAACCATATGATTTCTTGGATATTTGGTTTTCTTGCTGTTGTTCATATTAATTCCCATAAAAGAGGGAAATTTGATTCCTATACCCTGAAATGTGTATACATGGTACTCATACTCTCAAAAGAGGTACAAATTTTAACACCTGCCCACCCAAAAGTTCTATGTCCGCATATGTCACATTTATTGAATAAGAATCTTACTTCATTTAGCGTTATCTTTAGGGGGAGTATATGTTGCAAGATGAGGATACATAATTCTTAATTGATTTTGACCTATCACCTTTGTCATATACTTCAAAACCATCACCATAAGAAAAGTTTTAGAAGGCATTAAAAAACTCAATACCACAAGAAAACTTTAAAAATTCATTCTCTCAAGGGATTATACCAATCCCTAGGTTTTCTTAGGTGTATATAAGGAGTAAGATACCGAGTGATGAGCCAAATCCTATTAAAAAATCCGACATTAATCCTAGAAGTAAGTTAAGTCTTAGAAAATTTATAAAGTTCTTTAATAATGATGTGCCTATTGCACTTCATAAATATATAAGAGAATGCACCAAAAACCATCTGTATCATATCTCACAATTTGTGTCGTTTGTTAAGGGCTCATCTACCCATAGAAGTTTCTTCACAATTTGTGTCGTTTGTTAAGGGCTCATCTACCCATAGAAGTTTCTTCACAAGTTTAAATAATGAGTATATTCCTAACGCAATATCTAAGACATTATCCTGTGAAAAATGGAAAATACTATGCATATAGAAATGCTGACACTTGAAAAAACCAAACTTGGGAAATGATAGATCTACCTAAAGGCAAGAAGCTGGTGGGATGCAAACGAGTTTTTTCAATCAAATATAAAGTAGATGAGACATTCGAGAGATATAAGGCGAGACTGATGGCAACATATGGGATAGACTACCAAAAAATATTAGTGCAGTAGTCAAGATGAACACTGTGAAAATATTGTTGTCATTAGTCCCCCACTCTGACTGACAATTACAACAATTTGATGTAAGAGTTTTAGAAGAATAAAGCTATATGGATATTCTACTAGGCTTTGACTGAGAAGCAAGAGTAAGAAAGATATTTTAAACTAAAGGAGACACTGTATGGACTCAAACAGTCGCTAAGAGCATGGTTTAAAAGTTCATAAGAGTTATTATAGGTGTGGGATTTAAGTAAGTTCAAGGAGATCACATTTTGTTAATCAAACACTCAAAGGTAGAGGGGTTTATAACTCTTCTATTATATGTTGATGACATTGTTGTAGTACTAGAACAATATCTGATGAAGGAATTCAAAATCAAGGAATTGGACAAGATAAAGTATTTTCCGAGAATTGAAGTTGTCCGCTCTAAATATGAGATTTTTATTTCTTAAGAAAAATACATTCAATACCTATTAAAAGACACTGACAAGCTAACATACAAACCAAATAGCACTCCTATTGATCCTAATCATAAATTAGGAATAGCAGATGAAAGTACGACAGTGAACAAAGAAATATATTAGAGACTAGTTAGGAGATTGATCTACCTATCCCGCACGAGATCAGATATCGCCTATGCAGTAAGTGTTATAAGTCAATTCATGTTCAATCCGAAAGAAATGCACCTATTGGCAGTTTACAATGTATTGCAATACTTAAAAAAGTCACCAAGGAAGGAATTATGTTAAGGATGAATGACAAATTGCTTCTAAAAGGCTATACTAATGCAAATTATGTAGAGTCAGTTGTAGATAAAAAATATGCTACAGACCACTTACTATACCTTGAGGGTGATCTAGTCATTTGGAGAAGTAAGAAACAAAATATAGTTGCGAGATCAAATAAAAAATTAGAGTTTCGAGCAATGATGCAAAGGGTATGTGAACTAATATGCCTAAAAAGAATTTTGGAAGATTTTAAAATTAAGTGGGAAAACCTTATGTGCCTATATTATGACAACAAGACGACCATAAGTATCATTCGCAATTTGGTGCAACATGGTCGAACCAAACACATCGAAGTCACGTACATTTTATCAAAGAAAAACTTGACAGCCCCTAATATATTCCTCATACATGTCCACCAATTCTCAACTAATAGATGTGTTAATTAAAGATGTAAGCAATCGAACATTCTAAACTCTTATTGGCAAGTCGGGAATGGACAACATCTATTCCCTAGCTTGAGGGGGAGTGTTAAGGAGAATGGTAAATTAGGTTAAAAGGTACAAAGACAAAATAACATTCCTTGTAAGTAATTGTCTAATTCCTTTTCTGTCCTAAAAATCTGTATTTGTAGGGCCGTAATATCTAATAGAATACACATCAAACTATTCTTGACATATAAGATGGACTCATGAACCACATTTTTTGAGTCATCAAGTTCAGCTTTGGAGTCGTAAATTAACTTAACATTTTCTGCCCATTTGCCACCAAGACTTTGAGAGGGAGGATTCTGTAATTCTGGCATCATACCACTTAGCTATCTCAATATTCATGAAAGTATGTGGACTACCACTGTTGACTAGGATAAGTATAGGTTTGAAATTCGTTGCCTCCTAGCCTTGACAATGCAGCCACTGTTTTGAGCCTCCATGGTTTGTAGGGAATTTTCCCTCATTAATTCTCCATCTATGCTTCCCCCTGTTGCTGCTTCATCCCTCTTCATCTCTGTAATCGTAACTTTTTTTTTTTCTTTTGTAGTTTCTAGCATCATCACCTTCTTGGCTTTACTAAATTCACAGCTGGCATTCTAGCCTGTGCAAAAATTTCAGGAACTTCTAGAAAAGATGAAACTTGCTAACTAAATTAATTTACTAGGATCCTTACCGGTAATTACTTTGTCTTGACACTAATAGATAGTTTCTTCCATTTAGCAGAGAGGGCAAGTGACTTTGGATACGGTTTAGCATTTTATGTTTTTCTTCCTCTCTGAAGTAGCAATTTATATGTTCTCTCTAGAATGGCTAAGTGACTTCCTACATGAGATTTTGAGTTCTTGATGTTAGAATTGACTATTGAGCATTGGAGGAAGATCATTACATTCTTTAGCATTTAATAATGAATATAGATTCACTCTCATTTATAGAACTGAACACACTAATTGAATTTCGTAAATTCTTTTTGTCGTCTATTTTTGTGCACGATTTGCTTTTTTAAATTTCTTGGTGCTCAACAATATTGATGGAAAAGAAGGAAAATGAAGAAGTATTTTGTACACATTCTTTTTATTTAAAAAAAAGTATATGGTTTATTAACATATTAGAGATCTTGCTGATGTTCCTAATGGGTGTTTGTTTCCTCACCCGTTACATACATCATGTGAATTGATATGTAGATGAACCTTTCTTCTGGATGCCTGTGCTATTCTTTATGCTTTGTTTTGAGAAACATTCTCTGTACTTCCTTTTTGACAATGCTAATATTTTTTTTTTGTTTTCTGAATTCTAATTTGATCCTACAGCCTTGTGAGCTCGCTTGCTATAGTCGTGTAGAAGGTGGGGAGGTCCACTTTGATGAGCGCAGCTTGGTGTGAACTATTGTTTCTCGGGATTTCTTTAACTATTTACTTATAATATTATAGTTCTTGTTGGTTTTTTGGCTTATTGACGCCATCTCTATCTCCCTGTTTCTAGAGGCTTTTTAAGCGTCTCATCACTGAGGATATTGGAGCTGATTTAAATGAAGGTTATGACACTTATATTGAGAAAAAAGGTAAATTCATGTGTCTTTTATTTTCCAATTAAACATTGCCATGATGAGATTGCATATGAACCGAATAGCAATAATGATATTTCATTTGTGTTATGCATCTAGTTGACTTTATGCATCTGAAGGTTAACAATTGTATCTAGAAAGAGGGTAAAATGTTATATCTTCTATTTTCCAATTAAAAATTGCCTGAGGAGATTGAATATGAACCATATTGCAAAAATGATTGTTTATTATGCGCCTGGTTGAGTTTATGGATATGGAGGCTAATGCATTTTTTCCTTTAAACTAGAGCTTGGCTCCCAGGGTTTTGGTGACCTCCTTGCCTGCATAAGAGCTAAAAATCTTCCACTTCAAAACATTCATTTTGTGGTAAGGCATTGTTTTTTCTAGCTGCTTAATTACGATACCTCATGTACTGAAAGTACAATCCTGATCTTCCCCTTTTTATTGCAGACTTTCCGAAACAACCTAAATAAGGTACATCAAACTCTGTTGTCAATTTTACTTACAGATAAGTGTTATTTGGGACATTCTTGGTAATATCTGCCTAACCATGATTCTGAAATATATATATATATATATATTACCTGGCTAACTATGATTCTGATATATATATATATATATATATGTATGTATATCCATCCTGGATCAGATGATTTTCTTTCCCTAGGTTATCACTAAGAATGCTTTAATCGAAATTCACCATATTGTTAGTGACTTCACTCACAGGTTGAATTGTCACTATGAATTCTTTTAGGAGAATCTCAATAGTGGATGAACCATAAGATCCCAGAAGATGATTGCAACCAGGCTGAACTCTAGATTAGTAAAAGCCCAGATCATGAGAGAACAACTAACTTTATCAGCTTGACTCCAAACAACCGGTCCTCAAAATTGATCCAAGCAAGTCACTCTTACTAAGGTCAATAGCTAACCCTGGAATCAGCTTAAACAGTTGTAAAAGGTGAGTGCGTATCTTTTAAGTGATAGAGAAAGTTGCCAAGGGGAGGAAACCTGTAATGCACCTCCAATGATGATTACAGTTACATAAACCAAGGCTTCCAATTAATCCTCTTGTAGGCCTCCTCAAAGTTCAAATTTGAACGCCAATAATTTGCTTGTAGATCTTTTAACATCCACCACTACTTCATTTGCAATGATGTTTGCATCAAGAATTTGTTTACCTGCCGCAGGTTCTCTGGGTGACAAAATATAATCTCCAATAAGCTCTCCCAATCTAAGAATGGAACCATGGGCATAGTCTTATCACTTTTAGAAACAAAACATGTGTGGCAATTATCATTAGCTTAATGGACTAGTCTTTTTTAGGAGCTAGGTTGACGAAATTAGATTACATTTTGTTAGTTATTTACAAATGAAATTTACTAAAAATCTTAAGCAGATTCAACTTTTAGCAGTCTCTTAGCTACTATTGTAGGAAATAATAATAAAGTAATCAAGAAAATGGCTTTATCCAACGCCACTTATTAATCTCTTCTTCTTCAAAATGCCTATGTAACCACCTACCTTTATCAAGTTCTAAAGCCTCCAATAAAGGGTTATCTTCCTCCTCATAAAGTTTCTTATTACAATATTTTTTTTAATTTATCTCTGAACCAGTAGAAGCGGAATCAATGAAGATTCTATCATTTTCAAGCATAAATTCCTTAATTTAACTCTTAGACTTCCTTTCACACTTCCCAATTGATGGATAATATGTTGAAGTTTCATCACAAACTTACCCACCCCTTGACACTTGGTTCCAGAGTGAAAAGGTAAGCTTGGTCATTAAATAAAGATACATCTCAAAGGAAGCAAAAAGCTGTCGAGGTAAGAATACAATTCTATCCCTAAAGATAGGCCTGGTTTTAGTCATT